ATGTATTAGTTATTGAGAAAATAATACATTTCTATATTTTTGCTGTTAAAGAGAGGGGCAGTCTTTGAGCGGAAAGTAATAGATACAAGTTGCGGAGTATGAAATTGAACACAGATAGATAGAGAGAGGGGGGTATAGAGAGAGAGGGGGTAGAGAGAGAGAGAGAGAGAGAGAGAGAGAGAGAGAGAGAGAGAGAGAGAGAAAGAGAGAGGCGGAGAGAGAGAGAGAGAGAGAGAGAGAGAGAGAGAGAGAGAGAGAGACAGAAAGACAGAGAGAGAGAGAGACAGAGAGAGAGAGCGAGAGAGAGAGAGAGAGAGAGAGAGAGAGAGAGGAGAGAGAGAGAGAGAGAGAGAGAAGAGAGAGAGAGAGAGGGGGGGTGGAGAGAGAGAGAAAGAGAGAGAGAGAGAGAGAGAGAGAGAGAGAGAGAGAGAGAGAGAGAGAGAGAGAGAGAGAGAGGGGGGGGGGGGGAGAGGTGTTAGCAAATAGCAAATTGCTTCCTCAACATTTCGTCTTTCTTGAAGGAATGAAGAAGCACATTGTTTTCATTAGACTATTGAAGAAACATCCCAGAAGTGTTGTACTCCCGTTCATCAAGAACCAATCACGTTGCCTAACACGTGACTGTATCATATATCAACTTAAAGACTCGATTTCGCTCTCGTTTTCAATAAACAACATACAGTTTAATTAAACACTGCTGTAAACAATATAATTAGATAAAGAACAATGCTTGCAAAAACATATCAATACATTTAAAATGTTTCTCCAGTGTTGTCACGGTATTTGAATTCATTCACATGTATGGTGGAGGGTTTCTTTATTGAATTTAAGCCGCACAGATACATGTCCACGATATTGAAGCATTATTGCTATATCAGCTCGTATTGCAGAAAACATTATATAATATTAGACATTAAGATTAATTTAAGAGTTTTAATAAACAATTTTCAAGATTAGCGCTGCTGATATCTAGTTATGCAATATTCAATCATTCAAACATATTCCATGCAGCATGGTGGTGCCAATCTAATTGAATGGATTTGTTCCATAAACATACACATTTGTAAATATTAAAGAGATGCCCGTACTTCTTTTTTCATGCATATCTTTTATCGTTTTTACGATATGTCGAACATACCGTTTCATGAAATGTTGAAATAGTAACTATTTTGTGTAACGAAGTCGTTTCTATAGTAACGTCGGAAACTGGGAGAGGATTTGAGTAATAGATTTAAATTTGACATGACGTCATGTGACACAATCACGAGATCACATGGGATCTTTGCGCCGCACATTGTTTACCTTTATTTGTTCTTTTAGAATTGGATCTTCGCCATTTTTTCTCTTCTGAGAGAATTTTTTTTAATTCCGCCTAATAAATAGTGACAATATTGGTTTGTTTTTTAATCAGAATCAACAAGGTACAACAAGGGACCAAGCGAACCCTACATATAAAAATTGAGACATCTATTCAGTACTTCTCTCTAGAAATAGTGATAACAAAATTTCATTTAAAAAAGGCCGCCCTTATGTCAATCTTTTTTCTGAGTGGTCCCCAAACCCCTAGGGCACAACTAAGGATAAAATGAAATCTTCATACGAAATTTGAGAACAATCCAAATAACATTTCTCGAGAATTTCGATAACAGTATTTCATTGCCAAAATCCAAGATGTCCTCTTCTAGCAATTCTGTTTTTCTGATTAGTCCAAAATCAGAAGGACACAATACCTGAACTCAACCGGTCTCCACAAGCAAATGCATGGTTCTAATTTATAAAGATCACAGTTAGTCAGTTTGTGAATTTTGATCCCGCTTGTAATGAAGCCGCCAGGTCGCCTATAATGACTTTCCAAAAATAGTAACAGTTAACTTAACCTTGACCCGACAACCTTGAAACACAAACTTATTCAAGAAATTTTAGTGCTTTAAAGGCGTTTGAAGTTTGATGAAAGTTAAAAAAAAAAAAAAAGTGAAGACGTTAGAGCGCAAAGATTTTCTTTCAAATAGACTAATGCTGACCTTGACCTTGACCTAATGACCCTGAAACTCGAACTGGTTCAAAATAGTTTGATGCTTCATAAGTGCGTGAATTTAGATGAAAAAACTCGCATCCCTGGTTTCATTGATGGTGAATTTCATACAAAATTTTGTAGAAAAGTCAGTATTTCTTTATTGTTTTTCGTTTAATTTCAAAGAGTGCAGTGATTCCAACCGTTATCAAATTTATTTGGGAATACTGTAGACATATCACTATTATCTTTATGTTTGTGTGCTAGGTACTTTATACACCAAAAATATATATCTATAATGGTGCCTAGTATTTTTCACCTTATCATGTACATACATGTACTGTTATTCACCAAGTGAACATCACGTTTTATTTATGAATACATTCACTTATTTAATTTTTGTCTTTATTAAAATCTATACCAGTCTTTCTTTTCACGAATCTAAAACAGATAGGACAGATGAAAAGTGCATGACTTCATTTAAATGTAAACGAAATCCTGACTCTAACTTTAATAAATATATGGTTCCTATAGATTTACTACAGTCTGGCTGTAGGGAATGTTGACTTACGTTACAATTAATGTAAAATACACCCTTAGTTGCCAGATATAATGATATATGTATATAGTAATGTCTCTGCAGACTTATTACCTCCCTTACATCAAATTCACTGTATTCCAAGGATATTCATGTACTATATACAGAAATACAGTAGAGAAATATTTGTACCATTCTACGAAAGGAAAACATCGTGTTATATAACACGGGTAACGTCAGGAGATCTTAAGTTATAATCAAATTAGTACATGAAAATATTAGCAAATCAGTTTCCAACAGAAGAGTTGGCGATGAAAATAACTGGATTCATATTTGCCAATATAATACCAAGTGCAGCAATAGCGTGTCTCCTTTTTCTAAAATATACGTATCCAGAATTTGTTACGCTTCTTGTGTTTATAACGAATCAAAAAAAAAAAATTAAAAGACGATTTTTTTCTGAAGTCAGAATGTTGAAATTCTAGATAGGTATACCAATCCTTGCATAAATTTCCCGTATAACTTAATGTAATTTATGATTGATCAGTAATCTATAAAGTAGTTCCATTCAAGTGTGTACATTTTAGATTATTTATAACGAGAGAACATATTTATTTGTTATGAGTCTACAACTGTAAAAGTATCATTCAAATAAATGTACTTAAAATGTAAAAATACTTCCCTAATGAAACATATTCAAAACATTTTATGACGGACTACTTTCTGTGAGAAATCATTACGCAGCTCTGTTAACCAATCGGAAGCAATGCCACACGTATAACATTGACGTCACATTTATGTCAAGGAATGGTACATAAAAAAACAGTGTCCATTACCGCTGTCACTTTGCACTTCACTTTACACTCAGAAACACAATGATAAATGACAATCAAGTCAATTGTTTTTACTACAAAGTAAAGTGACGATTTATTTACATGAATCTGTAATGGCTATCTGAACTAAATAACTCCTGACACGATTACGTTACAATCAAGAAAAACATTCCAATTTTTGAGTTCCTACACAAATTTTATTAAAAATTAGTCAATTATTACAGATGCCTGTTAAATCAAAGTACCGTCCGTATCCACTACACATCTCTAATCCCACTCGGTTCTCTCTTAAGATGCCTACTCCAATATCTCAATGAGAATGGCACATCTCAATATGTTGAATTGCTATTTGCACATTTTTACGGTTTTATAGTTGATGTTTTTTCACCATACAATTCTCATATATCACTGCGGCAACGTCGGGCATTTACGAGGTATGTACATAATGTAACTATTGGGATAGCGTATGAGCTGGCAGTAATCAGGCTTGAACCTCTTGAGGTATTTCACTACTTAAACTTGCTATCACGTTCACATCGTTTTGAAATATTAAGAGTTACACTTGAAAGCGAAAGATCAGATCTACTGCGAAATTGGTTCTTCAAAGTCGGGTTATGTACTCGTGCGTGCGCGCTCAATTAACAGGGCAGGGAGGAATCACTTCGGCCTTATCACACGAAACTTACTTTGGCTGGTACAGCATCTCTGAAGACGTTTCCTATTTCAGAGTAATTAACGGAGTTTATCGAATATTCCTATCTCCTTGAGGAAATTTAGGATTAGTGGGTATTTGGTTAAATATTCGCATTGCAATAATCTCAGCTTTATTACAAGTAAAGAATTTCCAGTCGATAATACTGACACTGTGTGTTAATGATAAAAGTTCTCCAACCGACCACACAATGTTATATGTACTTTAACTCCACCACAGAGCCACTGGGATACACAATAATTGTCGAAATCAAATTTGTCTTATTTATGAATATGTTGAACGAAATTAGAAATGACATGTTCTCAAAAACGATCAAATGAAATTGTCAATCAAATATCTGTAAAAGACACTTAGGTACTACCTCAAATAATTATATGGATGACTGATACGAAATATGCACGTTTTTACTACAAAATGTCTTTCTTTTCTGAAACATGTTCATAACATCGCAATAAGGTCAATAGGCTTCAAAGAGTAGTTTACTGTACAAGGGTAATGTAGCAATTCAAGAGTGGCGTTAAACATTCTCTGACTGAAATGTAGTACACAAAAGATGGTTCGTAACTCGGGCTATCAGACCGATGTGCCAGTGACATTAATATGTAATAAATTGATATTGCGTTACAGAAATCTATACAGCCACATTTGACTGACGATGATTCCGACCGAAGCCAAGACTATCAGGAAGAGGTAGATGACAAAAGGAGAGAAAAAGGTCAAAAGTGTTGCAACGTGATAGAAGATCAATTTTGTCTGCTTAGATATCTCCTTAAGAGAAAAAAAACCTCACTTGATTCTGTGGGTCCCTACATCTGAATGTGTACAGACCTGTATTGCTGACCGCACCGACAAAGTTGAAGTAGCGTTCACTTAGAGCCGTATTACCATATAAGCAACGTCACCTACCTTTGGTGTGTAAACGTTGAGATACAAGCAATCTTCACTTGTCTTGTTAAAGCCCGGAACATGAAGCTCGATGTATGCCAGACCTCCACTTGGCTGGGGACAGGCGGGGCCCAGCTCTATCGCATTCAACGTCCCTTCGTGCCATGTTTTTGGGGCGACAGGGGGCTGCCAAAGAAAACATACAATACGGTAAATACAATTTTAATTAGTATGTTTTATGCTGCCACAATATGACATTATGACACCATCATTCTACCAGGATTTTAGACGCTTTTGTTATCGCTGATGCTGCGGTAAACTTTGGCTCCTGTCTTCAAGGTTTACGTAATATCTTAAATTATTCGTAAAAGTTGAATTATACCACCATAATTCCAATAAACATGCAAGGAATTCGATTTTGTGACATACGTGAATGACAGGAAGTCACCCCTACAGAGGAATTAAGCCATTACTTCGGTCTCATCGAGCCGAAACTAGATATTGATGTAACACCGACAACTGATGTCGCCTACGGGAGATATGTACAAGGCCACGATGAGGACCTGGAGAGAGGCTGGCATGAAAGTGACAGTATACGGCAATCTGGGTATTCTGGAGTCACAAGTTGGCTAGCGGTGTTCTTTTATTAAATCTATATTTAGAAAGTTTACTAAAAACACCATTCGCAAAATCGATTGTTATACTCCGCAACAATTGCAATGTAATACACAGGTGCCGACATTACACCTGTGGTCGCAGTCATTTATCTACATTCATGGCCATTTCATGGAAAAATAGGAATGGCTCTTTTTATCTGAAATATCCGTCTAATACGGTAGAGGTATGTTAGATATACCAATATAACGGTCCCCCACAAGGGAGGAGGAAACAGAACCGTCTCGACCTCATGTCGGCAGAGCATGCACATAAATTAGAAGCACTAATGCCTAATGCCTCACAACAGGTTTCGACGATTAAATTTCATATTTGATAATAGATCCCCGTAGATTAGGCGAAGGATTACAAGCACCATTATTTTTATCAAGATATGTTTAAAAGCTGTGTTGTTAGTCTGGTTACCTCCCCTAATTAGCTCTCCAATGTAAGTAATAATCTCCGTGGGGGGTAAGTTCGATGTCATTAATGACAAAGTACAGCCGCCATAGATTACATCATTTTTTTTCTTGTTTCCTCTGCAACTGCGCGACAGGTTATCACTACAAAACCGGATATTTTTCATCATCTTTCGACTCGAAGATTATGTACATGGCTTAGTGTTCAGCTATACCAGTCCTCCCGGTAAGATAAGCGGAGAAATTACAGTCACGTTTTATCTTAAAACTGCGGCTGAAGTGGTAAAGTTTATCATATATTTTTTTCCTTTCAACTCACATAAACCACCGCGACAGTTTGTGTTACATGGAAAGGTGATTATACTTGCTGTGCACTGTTGGAGTCCAATCCTTACAACATTTGGTGATTGCACATGCTCTCTATGTTACATGACCGTTAGGTTGGATATTAAGTCGCTCCGGGAAACAACATCTAATCCGGATATAGCTTGTTCTGTCTTCCATTGCCTGAAAGTCTCAACTTGTGTTTTTTGTTAAATAAAAACGCTTTCCAAAGCAATGCAATTATGTTCTCCACTGTTGCAAAAGGCTCGACAGAACTTTCCACTATACTCACCATCTCCTTTTTCTGAGCTAAAATATATTCGTACTTTTAAACTCAATTTAACATTGTAATATCAATTCTGAAAAGACCTCGAGAGAATAATTCAAAATTGTATCTAAAATCTAATTTCTATTTTGAAATACAGTTTTGCCATAGTTCCATTTGTCGCTATGGTAACGGAAACAATATTTGCTAAACTGTGCAGTAAACCTTCATTATACGAGAATCTTCATTCCCACATACAACGAATCTCCAGATAATTAGATATCAAAGGAACTGATATTGGCCACTAGTTTCAAACAACAAGTAATTATGATTCGTAATTTATTTTTTTCCGCCTGTACCGTTTACCAGTTGTTCAGGATGATCTTTTTCAGTCCGTCGACGCGATGATCAAATCTTATAGATTACCTCAAGGCAGGAAATTAAAGTAGCATTGGAAACGACGAGACCGGAAGTAAAAGAGTGAGGATTATAAAAAAGAAAAAGATAAAATAACGGAAATATTTCATTACACGAACGTGGTATTATCATTATGTTGAACACTAGTGTTTTATGTGTGTTAATATGGCTATACTGCGCGTTGGCATCGTTTAATAAGCCTTGAAACAATCTCTCAATCAGGTTAGTAAGCTTCATTTAAAAATGACCCTTTTCTCCATTTGAAATATAGATATACATATCTTTACAATTCGCTCCGAGAGACGTATCTAATAAATGTAATTACGTTTATGTTAGTTTCCGAATCATTTCTCTGATGTCACGCACGGTGTATGATTTTCTCAATTGAATATTTATTTATGTAAAAGAAAGGCTGACACACATATGTATTCAAGTTAGGAATAATTTTGAAAGTCTGACATAATTTTTTTGTTTTTGATTCGTAAAATACATATTAGACACATCCAGCACAACACGTAAACGGGATTTTTAATACATTTCAGACACAAGGCAGTACCCTAAATTCTGTGTATAACAATATAATTCCTATTCCCAGACGCTCTTGTCACGGATTTACTGTATACACGTGTATATAGATCTATTCCCTGGAAGTATGTATCCTCGGAAGGCGATCTTCAAGTACGAAACAGTCAAAGTTCCCAGGTGTGCACGTGATATACACTATACTGGTATTAGTAGGCAGATTCGCGGGAAGTCGACACAACATTACCATGCGACAATTTCTGCTGTCAGTGTATTATAGTATTCACTGACGGTCGTTATAGAGCCCTCGTGGGATCGGTACCGCAAAAGATTGGATAACAGAGGAAGATCGGGGAAAGAGTCACGAAAACTTCGGCACGTGCACGTATCATAGCATGCGAAATGATGTCACAACTCCCACATCTTTAATACAACAAGATCGATTCACCACCGCCATCGTGGTCACCTGTTTCCCATGGGCATGCCGCTTCCAAAATATATTGATGACTCCATCTTTACAGACATGCAATACGTGTAAAAAAAAAAAAACCCAAAAAACAATTGATTTGATGCCGACCCGGAAGTTTGTATTCCGTTGTTCTGTACTACCTCTGAGGCGAACTATTAATTCCTAACCTTTCTTCATGGATGTGCGTTAGTTTGTTCAGTTAAGGCGTTGACCTACGTAATCTCCTTTGGAGGCCCGCGGTGCATGGTTCGACACTCCTTACTCTTTGCAGTTTGGGTTTTTCAGGAAGGAGACCTGTCTGTGCTGATGTAGTTGTGTCACCCTAATTGCTCTGAATTACATGCGACGGGCCTCCCATATGTTGTTCAGTGATGAAGTCACCAGCTGCTATAAGAAACCTATGCCTGCCTGTTTGCGAGGCAATAAACACAGCAAAAAAAAACCAAAAAAACAAATAAACACCTAAAAATTGCAACGACACCGAGGCGAACTCCACGTACCTACGAATCCCTTAACGACTGTGGTTAAAACAGTAACAGGTATATCACGTGATGAGATTTTTAGGAACACTAGGGAGTGTATAAGTCGAGTTCTGTTGTGTACAAGTCGTCAGTGGCTTTTCACAGGTCGTTCCTTCTACACGCGACTAGTATTTTGTATAAGGCATGTCCCCTGCGTCACCTAGAAACTTCTCACCTATTAATTATAAAATCCCATGAAATAAAACTGGTATTGTTCATTTGTCTAATAGGAACCTATCTTACTCCTGACACCCTTTATCATGTACTAATTAATTTCTCTGTGAAAACAGGTCCTGGTGTTGGGGTTTTAATCTACTACAAAAATAATGGTTTCATTTACTGACGACATGATCAAGAAAAAGACGGATATTATGACAAGAGAAATACAGGCATACCAGAAACGAAGTATGACAACTTTAGCAATATACCAGTTGCAAATGAATAAAGCATCATTTCAAGAGATAAAGTGACACTACATATTACTTAAATAATGAATACCCATTAAGTCTGTATCGATAAGATCAAATGATGAGAATTGGATGACTAATGCAATTAGACTACATATTGGACAAAAATCTAAAAATTCTAAAATATCTTAATTTAGGTAATTCGGCTCGGCACTGAGAAAACTATAAAAACAAAGGAAATTGGAACATTATAACAATTCGAGATGAAAAGAAAGAACGACAAAAAAAAAAAAAAAAAAAAAATTCACCAGCTAATCTATTCATTTTAACAAACGGTGGAAAATGTTTTAATGTAAATTTTAAAAATATATCTACCTCTATTTCATCACTTATAACAAATAACTAATTCATTCAACATTTATTGTTCAAAGCTGAATGGTTAGATAATACCTTGTGTTGATATCTACCGCATCTGACAACACTGATCTTGTATCTGAGATTACAGATAAGTACCCTCATTTTATCACAACCCAACAAGATGTTGAAAATTATTGATTGTTTTCTGAGCGCTAGTAACCCTGTTGTACCAGAGGATACGATTCCCATAATGATCAAACAACTACATTCGTCTATCTCCTTTCCTGTGACTATTTAAACACTTAAAACTGGAATTATCTCCCTTGGCCGGATGATGGGTAATGTAAATGTTATTTATAGAGAAAAAAATACTAAAATAAGAAGAATATTTACATACCCATCTCTGTTACATCATGTGTTAGCAAAATATTAGAAAAATATTAATTTGAATATGTATCATACTACCTAATTACATATAGAATTATTACAAAACATCAGTCTGGCTTTACACACCTATAGATTCAATAATAAACCAATGTTTACCATACTATTGTTGACTACCGAGAACAAAATAAGAAATCAGATATATATACATAAGGATTTTAATGGAGTTTGAAACAATAGACTATTGGAATTACAGGGTGTTAAAGATAATACTTTAAATTGGTTTCATTTGTCTAAATAAAGAAAACAGGGAAAGTACAAACTGATAGCTTTACACCTTTTAACCTGTTAAAGCAAGGGTTCCACAAGGATCGGTCCTCGGTCCTTTGTTGTTCTTGTTGTCGTCATTTTGGAAATGGCTTCGTCGTCGCCGTCTTGTAAGAGGAA